GTTTTCTTCAGGGTCTTCCTTGTGCTTTGTCTGATAATTCACCCCCACAGAGACTGTATAATTACTGTAAATCACTTACTGTATATTGGTGTATGTCATAGTTTTGTTCACATCATTTCATTCCTCTTAAAAGTAGCATTTGGGGGGTACCTGGGTGGCAGTGGATTAAAGCCTCTGCCTTCCGCTCAGGTCATGATCCCAGAGTCCTGGGATCGAGCCCCACATAGGACTCTGCTCCGCGGGGAGCCTGCTTCCTCTGAGTCTCTCTCTCTGCCTGCCTCTCTGCTACTTGTGATCTATGTCAAATAGATAAATAAAAATCTTAAAAAAAATAGCATTTGGTATGGTCATGCTGCCCCTTCCAACTCTTCATTTTGCCAAAAATCACTGAAAAGCAAAATAATAGCAAATAACTCCTAATGGATTACATGTCAACAGACAGGGATGATTAAGGATTGACATTGCTCTATGTTCCCTGGGTTTAAATGTATATTTTCCAAAGAGTAAAATTCATAGCCAAAAGTGTCTTTCCCTGGCTTGTTATCAGTTTATCTTGTAAAAATAGTTGTCTTGTTTTAATAAGCTTTCAAATACAATTGACCCTTGAATAACACAGGTTTGAACTGCATGGATCCATTTATATGTGGATTTTTTTACAGGACTATAAATGTATGTTCTCTTCCTTATGATTTTCTTAATAACATTTTCCTTTCTCTTTCTTACATATTATAAGAATACCACATATGAAATCTGTGTTAATCGACTATTTACGTGATCAGTAAGGCTTCCTGCCCACAGTGGGCTGTTAGTAGTTAAGTTTTTGAAAGTCAAAAGTTATATGTGAATTTTCGCTGTACGGAGGTTGGAATCTCTAACTCCTGTGTTGTTCAAGGGTTAACTCAGCATCTCTTACTGTTTTTACCACGTTCAGAATTTTTAAATAGTCTCAAGTTGACCCTGTTATTATCTGATGCTTTATGAACACATTTATTTTTGCCACTAGTTTCAGTTCTGATCTTGGATTACGACACAAAAATATATCATGATAAGAACAAAAATGAATGTTAACTTCAATCACACACAGAAATGTATTCCACAGTCACTATTTTGGTGTGAACTAGCTAGATTTTTTTTTTTTTTTTGGTCTCTTCTACCAAAGGAATCTTATTTCACTATAGCTTAAGTTTAGGTCACCTTGAAAAATGTGTATGATTATAGATTATAATACTAATTCATGATAAATGACCAGGGATTCATGGAAAAGGATATATAAATAATGAGATTTCAAGTTCTTATAAGAGAAGATTTAAAAATTATCGTCATGTTAAAAGCACCAACTTATTCTATATGAACATGTACGAAATAAAAATTATTTATTCAAGAATTTCTTTGAATTTCTTCACAGTTTCCCTAAATTTCTTCTTGATTTTATGATTCCTAATCAAATGCATTAGACAACATGAAAAAATTACATTTGAATTGCTGCGAGTATTATCTTTGCATGGGGTGGGGGGGAAAATGAGCTCTTTCTCCTTTTTCACTTCTCCAATCATCATTTCTGAGTTTTGGAATATAGCATTTCAATATCAGATCTGTTAGCATTTGATTTAACAATCAGTAGCTCTCAGATTCCCTGTTCATCTTGGAAGTAGGGATGACTCAGAGCTAGTTGGAACACTGCCTCCTCTCACTGGAAACACCCGCAGGCATATTCTAGTTTCATTATTGCTAGGAATTGGCCCAAGGAATACAGCAAGTTAGTTTTTTTTTTTTTTTAATCTGTTTTCATGAACATATGACAGAGTTTTGAAGCAAAAACTAGTTTTTGCACTGAAATTACCCAACCAAATACTACTTAAAAGTATTTTGTAATGCTATGGTCATTGGCCTGGAGATGAGTAAAGGTTATGTATTGTCTTTCCCTTGTCTGTGGGTTGGCAAATTATATACTCAGGTCCAGTCTGAATCAAAGGTGACAGGGCTGGTGTTGGCCCCAACCTGCAGGATAGCTAGAAGTTGGACTTGCCCAACAAGAAGGAAGACAGTGGCCTGCCTTTCAGCTTTTGTGTTGCTAGTCAACATGCAACTTTCACTAGTCAGAGATTAAAAGAAAATTAACATCAGTGAAAACATAAGGATCTGCTTTGCTGAAATATTTGGGCATATTTTAAACTTCACGTGCTTTTTTTTCCTCCCCTCAGCTAATGAACTCAATCTAATTAGGCTCCATGTTCCTTGCTCACCCAAACTTTTCCAAGATATCACAATTTTCTTAATATATAGAATAACCTTTTATAATCTAGGTTGAAATCATAGGGTTTGGCTCAAGAGCTGTCCCTGATTTATCACACACAACATTTTCAGATGGGAAGAGTCTATGAGGTTCACCTGGGCATGTCCATTCCCTCAGTGTTGGATTTCTGTAATATTTTTCTCCTGGTACCTCACTATTTTGGAAGTGCTGAAGGTTGCATTTTCTCACGTAAAAGATTTTCCTAAGTTCCCTTTTGGCCTACTTCATTACTTGGCCTCATTTCACATGTTCTCATTTTTTAAACGTGTTATTCTCTGTGGACAAGGTTTTTGACATCCCTTTTCCCTGTAACAATCAAAAGGTTATGCATTCTGGAATTACTCATACCATCATCTGCTCATGTTCCTTACTTTTGCAACGAGAGTTGCATGGATGGACCAAGAACATTGTATAACTATTTTTTTTTAAAGATTTTATTTATTTATTTGACAGAGATCACAAGCAGGCAGAGAGGCAGGCAGAGAGAGAGAGAGGAGGAAGCAGGCTCCCTGCTGAGCAGAGAGCCCGATGCGGGGCTCGATCCCAGGACCCTGAGATCATGACCTGAGCTGAAGGCAGAGGCTTTAATCCACTGAGCCACCCAGGTGCCCCTGTATAACTATTTTTATTTTTTTTTTCTTTTCAAGTAATGACAAGCCTCATTTTCCTCATACCTCAAGAGGATATTTTTTAGATTACATCTCTTTACTCGTTTTTTAAAATGTTCTCATTGCCATTAGGTTTATTGTGAAACAATAAATGTCAAGCTCTAGCTATAAGTCATAGCTTTTTCAATAACTAAAAAAGGTAGATCGATGCTGTCCAGGATTATTTGAACAAATTCTATAACATTCTGCTTCATCTGGTCCATGTCATTCACAAGAATATGTTCACACTGTTAACGTTAAATGATTTCTTAATTATTCAGGAATTTACCTGGCAAAAGATAGGCCAAAGGGTAGGAGGAAATTTGGAGCATTATGGTAAATGTTACTTTATTACATATCAGCATGTATAAAATATGAAACATGGCATCTTATTTTTAAAAATATTTTATTTATTTATTTGCCAGAGAGAGAGAGATCACAAGTAGGCAGAGCAGCAGGTAGAGAGAGAGGGAGAAGCAGGCTCCCCGCTGAGCAGAGAGCCCCACGCCGGACTCGACTCCAGGACCCTGAGATCATGACCTGAGCTGAAGGCAGAGGCTCAACCCACTGAGCCACCCAGGTGCCCCTGGCATCTTATTTTTAAGCAAATTTAAAAGCATATCAAATATCTGGCGAGCCACTCCAGGATCCTCACTCATTATTGAACTGCTCTAATAAAATCTCATCTTTCAACTAGAAAGAAGACTCAGAAGGTTCTTAGTAGCCTCTATTATTAGCCTTTGCTAATTCTTCACTTAGCACCAGGGATATAATCCAGGACAAAATCTGGAGCCTTTTTCATGCTTTTTAGCTGATACCTTTGGTGCTGTACAGAAGTACACAGCTTTCTGGAAACAATGCTCAGCTGGCAGCAATGAATCATTAATGATTAATTTAGGAAGCCCAGCTTAACCATATGGAAGTAGCTTCAGGATAATGGTAGCAAGTGGTGGGCATCCAGGTGATAGGGCTTCTTTGCATCCCTAAGTTTCTGAAGATGGTGAAGGAAGCTGAGGAAGGAGGGCTTGGAGGAACCCCTTACTGCATGTTTTCTGGAGGGTCTGGCATGCTACATACCTTAAAGAGTCAAATGGAAGAAGGGGTAGTTTTGATCTAAACTGTATATTCACGGTAAATAAGATACTGTTATTTTGCTCCTTTCATTCATGATCTTTTCCTTTAATTCTCCTTTCCAGGTGGCCAAATGATCACATCCCCATTCCCAGTGGCAAAATAGCTGTGGAATTAGAAGATGGGTGGTGTGGTGACTGAACCTGGAGTCAGACTGCCCAGTAACAGAATCCTGGCGTCCTCACCTGGTAGGAGACCTTGAAAGACAGTTCAAGTTCTAAGAGGAAGGTGTCCTAGGGCGAGCACCTGGCCTTTTCCCCATCTTCGCTGTCAGTCATCATCCCGCCTGGCTACACTCACCTGATTTCTTGATCGCGATTGGGAAGCCTGGCTCTGTAGATGCCTCAGTGATTTTCTAAGGTCGCAGCCGCTTAGCTGGTGATTTTGTGGTTAGCTGATTTGAGAGAACGGAAGTGCATGTATTTCAAACACATTTATTAAAGATCCACTGGATGCGGGGCGATGAGAATTCAGCGGAAACCCGACGGACAAAAATCTTGCTCTCCTTGAGCTTACATTCTGGTGGAATTAAAAGTTGTTTCTCAACATCTGCGCTGTGCCCATTATCAGCTCTGCCTGAAGCCCGGGCCATGGCAAGTTGGTCTCGGCTCTCCGCGGACACAATCTGAAAGAATATAAATGGCAGAGCCACGAATGAGGCGGGGGTGGGGGTGAGCGTGTGTGTGTTGGGGGGTGGGGGTCACTGGAGGTGGCGTCTATTAGCGTCAATACGGCGGAGTCAGGGGACCCAGCGAGAGCCTGAAAACTTCAAGCCAAACAAACTCTGGGCTCGCCACCCCCACCTTTCTCCTTCCCTCCGACAGCCACGGCCACGGCCGAGGGAAAGCCGTCTCAGGGGTAGCCCAGGGAAGGCAGGGGGCTTGGAGAAAGCGGACTCGGATTCGCTCCCCCTTATCCCCCTCCAGACTATGGGCTTTGCCCTGGAGCGCTTCGCCGAAGCGGTGGACCCGGATTTCAAGTGCAAGCTGTGCGGCCAGGTGCTGGAGGAGCCCCTGTGCACGCCGTGCGGGCACGTCTTCTGCGCCAGCTGCCTCCTGCCCTGGGTGGCGCGGCGGCGCCGGTGCCCGCTGCAGTGCCAGCCCCTGGCGCCGGGCAAGCTGTGCCGGGTGCTGCCTCTGCGCGGCCTCATCCAGAAGCTGCGCATCCAGTGCGACTACCGCGCCCGCGGCTGCGGCCGCTCGGTGCGGCTCCACGAGCTGGCGGCGCACGTCGAGCGCTGCGCCTTCCGCCCTGCCCGCTGCCGCCGGCCGGACTGCGTCTCGGAGCCGGGCGGCCGCCGCGGCGTGAACGTCCCCGCGCGGGGGGGCTGCGGAACGGCGCCGGGGCCGGGCCGGGGCGGGGGCGCGCGCGGGGGGCCGCCGGGCGTCCGCGGCGGGAGCGGGCGGGGGCCGCGGCAGCTAGTCCTCGCCTGGAGTCGGCGCGAGAAGGCGCTGCGGGCGCAGCTCTGGGCGCTGCGGGACGAAGCGCAGCTCACTGCCCGCAGGTACCAGGAGAAGTTCTCCCAGTACATGGCTCACGTCCGCAACTTCGCCAGAGACCTGGGCGGCGGCCACGGCCGGGTAAGCGCAGAGGGATCGGGCACCTGGGGAACGACTGGGGTGGAGAGAGGACCGCTTCTTTCTGGTACTTCGGGATTCCTTCAGAGGTGACACCCTTCCTTACTGTGGGGTGGGAGGCGTCCACCCGCCTTGACCAAAACGACATACACTGTTGGTACTTTTCGGGTGCATCAGTGTTGCAAATTTCCACTTACATTAGGATCGGAACGAATTAAATTCAATTCCAACTTTTCAATGGAGAAAGAAGAATGAGGAAAACTCATTTTCCCACCCCGACCTTGCTCCCCATTTTAAACTCTCCTGCCCTACCCTACCATATATGTGTGTGTGTGTGTATTTTTTTTTTTTTTTTTTGTGCCTTTGGCCTGTGCCTAAAGCCAATCAGAAAAGGAAAGCTAGGAAGTGAGGACTTCCCCGACCCTGCCTCCCCTCTGCCCCTGCCCCAGCATCACACCTTTAGCTCTGAATGACTTAGTTTTCCTGCCAAACTACCCCTATTGGCCACCTTCTACTCCGTGCAGAGACTGTCAGGGTTGTGAGAAACCAGGAAAACCAGGGGGCGATTAGCAGATGGGATTTCTTAGACCTGCAGAGATTTCGTTACCCTGACCTTCCCTAAAGAATCCTTAGCTGCCTCGGGATCTCTTCGTTGGTGGAGTGTGTGTGTGTGTGTGTGTGTGCTGTGTTGGAGGGGTGGTTTGGGGAACCAAATCCGAGAGCAACCCCATCCATCCCATCTGCGGTCAGACTAGCCCTGTGAGCCCGTGGGCAGCGGCTGTGTTTCCCTTCTTTGTCGAAGCTGCTGGCCCCGAACTGTGCTGGTGGACTGCCCGCTTTCAGACTGAATAAACAAGCCTCTTTGCAGCACCCCCTGTGAAGAGGCTTGTTTATAAAGCTGTTACTTCTCTTCTGGAGGACTTCTGCGCAGTGTTTGACATTGTTGGTCGCTGCCATGGTGAACAGAGATTTAGCAGAACTTGCACTCCATTCAAGGAGCTGTTTTCATTCTTCAGCGTCCTGGGGAGGAGCAACACACGATGATTCCCGTTTGGGACTGCTCTGCCCTGCCTCCAACCCAGGCATCCAGTTTGGAAGCTTCTTCCTTGAACCTGAAAAAATGACAACTTAACTTGAGGGGCTAAAATGTTTCTACTTTGTTAATGGGAGGCACAATGCTTATTAAAAGGCTGGAGGCTATCCCTGATTCTCTCTGTATCCTGTTTAGAGCCAGGTAGATTTACAAAATGGGAGGACCCAGAGAGAAGCGCAGAAATGCGCTCTGCGTTACCAGGTCACGTTTCAAGGTTGTAGGGAAGCCATGATTGATGGAAAGGAGCAGCAACTGGAATTATATGAGGGAAGTCCATGCAACAAGTCAAGCTATGATTCTGAGAAGTGAGGAACAACTGCCCATGTTTTGTAGATTGTCAGAAGGCTTCTCCGTGCTCCTCAGAAATGTTTTCCCACTACCAGTAGGGGCTGCTGCATACACTGCTTGGGAAAAGCTCCTGGGAAGAGGTGGTGATGGTGCTTATGGAATTTTACCATGAATTGCCAAATGCAGTTTCCTAGGACAGTTAATAATACCCATAGCCTTACCTAGAATAAACCTTGAATGAATAAACCTTACCTAGTCTGGCATATTTTGTATTTAAATTGGTCTTCATTAGTAAACAGGTTATAGATATAATTCCTATTTGTTTTGCTATTATCTGGCTGCCAGGAGAAGAAATACACACTGTTTTACTTAACACAAATCCTTTCTTTGTAAAATTCTGTGGGAATAATACAAAACCAAAATAAGAATACTATTGAAAATTAGGATTACTGTAATTTAGATCCTGCATTACAATAACAATCCAAATATTACTGATGAAAGAATTTTATCAATAACTCACGGTTACTTCAATCCCTCAAGACTTTCTGAAGTGAAATTTTTACATAAAATAATTCTGGAATTTTTTATTTTTCTCTGTTGTAAAAAAAAAAAAAAAGTAAAGGTACCTGTAGGGTTACCAGAAATTTGTTTTAAATTACAGCGAAGCCAGAATTAGATGCTGTATTAGGATAAAAGATAGAGAGATGTGTGAAAACATAAAACCTTTAGACGTTTTTGAAAATAATTTTTCTCACAAGCACTTTTTTAAAAAATATTTTTTCAAAGTAAATTTAGGAAGAAATTAATGGTTGAATCTCCCAAATTCAACCATCCTTAATTTGAAGGTTTTCTTCTTTTCAAATGTTAATTTATTGACAGTTTATTTTTTAAAAAGCTTTGTGGTAGCTTTTCTTTTTTCTTTTCTTTTTTTCCTTTTCTTTTCCCTGTCCTTTTATTTCCTACCTAGTTATTTTATCCCTTTTCTTCTAGGTTGGAGAACATAAGCCATTCACCATTGTGTTAGAAAGAGAAAATGACACATTGGGATTCAATATTATAGGAGGCCGACCAAATCAGGTAATCTACCTTATTCATGCCTAATTCATTCTTTGCTTATAAAATAATAGAAAACCACTTTCATTTGTAGATTTTGAATGAGGATAGCAAGTGATTTAATCTTTAAAATCATGGTTATGATAAAATGTCAGATCCCTTAATGCAAATGTTCCAGTATATAACTACATTTTTCTGACAAAATAAAACAAAAAAATCCAGCAACTAATGAACTAGACTACCCTTTGCTACTTTAGGGAAAAAAGAGAGTATTTTCATATTTTATTTACATTGGATAGCCCCATTGGTAAACTTCTTAAACCTATTTCACAATAATGTGTATAGGCGATTTCTACTTGATAATATTAGGTAACTGGATTGCCTGATTATACCTTCTACTTACTAAGTCAACTTTTCAGTTTTCAGAGGCTAGCACAGACCAGGCAATTTATAATGCATGTTGATTGATGGCATGAACAGTTAAAATAAGTTGAAATAAGGGATCATTGTTTTCACAGTTGTATAAGAAATGCCATGTTAAAGGAAGATAGTTGATTTGAAATACTATTGGTCCTCCAATCCTATCTTTTATTTAATTGAATGAATAATATTGTCTTCATTGCTACCAGTTGTTTTCAAAATACATGAGTTATAAACTTAAACCAGACACTGTAGTCACAAAGTTCTTTTATATCCTTCAAATACTACATCAACTTAATTTTCACCATAACTAGAAAAAGGTGGTAAAGTTTTAAAAAAAAAAATCATGTTCTTTAATTTTCTTAATAAACTGCCATGAAATTCTCGCATCCTGCTTTGCAGATGTGGCCCAAGGACACTGGGTTAGAGTTGTTGGCCATATTCTATGTTTAGGTCAGGATGGCAATGACGTATTTCCCTCTACTGTTTAGTATTTTGAAAACCTAGCAACTAATGACTACTGTGCTTCTGTTTCTAGAACAGTCCCCATTTATAATGAAAAGATAGAAGTCTTTTCATCATATCTTTTTTGTTTTGTTTTTTTCCCTTAAGGAATGTTTTTATAAAATGCCACTTAGGTGTTTGACCTTTAGATGACACTGGACATTTTTAAGAGACTCTTCAAATTCGTGTTAAGGAAGGCTAATTAAGGGGAAATAATTTTATTTAAACTGCCATGAAGTAAAATGACATTTAAAATTATTATTATGGTATGTTGGGCATTTTACCTAGATAGGTTTTGCAACATAATTGTTTTCCTGTGACTGGCCGAAGTGTCCTATTTATATTATATCGATTATGTGGTTGAGGTTTAACTAATCATTAGGCTCATTGCTCCTGGAAATGTGTAAAAATTAGCTTTGAAAGGGTTCTCTTGCAGTTAGTGTTGATCTTTTGGGATTTTACACTTGAGTAAGCTCCTAGTCTCCCTGTAAATATAGTCAGAGCTTTATTTCCAGATCTGACACATCCTGAGGCTAAATTATATTTTCAAAACCATGGCCACAATATATAGTGAGGCTGGATATGCTTTTTGTTTCCTTGTGACCCTTTTTAATTGCTACATCTCTTGAGAAGTAAGCTGCTTAATAATACTTTGAAGACAGTCAATATCACCTTGTACATACCCTTTTCTCATAATTTTTTAATGTATACTCAAAAACATGAAGCGAATGGATAATCTTGTCAGAGATGCTGGACTCATTCATTAAAGCTGCCATCTTGATTAATGACCATTTGGTATTAATGTAAGTTAATTTTAAGTAAGTTAAAATTAAGTAAGTTAAAATTCAGTGCCAAATCCCCAGCTAAGAGAGAGAGTTGCATGTTTAGGGAGGATTGGCAATGTTACATTTATTAAATTGTCCTTTATCCAACTAAAATTTTGTCTACATTTTCTTACTGCTAATGGTTTTGTTTTTGTTAATTTTTTTTGTTTGTTTGTTTTTGCTAATGTTTTATTTTTGATAGAATAATCAGGAAGAAACATCAGCAGAAGGAATTTATGTTTCAAAAATTTTGGAAAATGGACCTGCCGACAGAGCAGATGGCCTGGAGATTCATGACAACATCATTGAGGTAAGACTATAATATAACACCAATATGAGCCATGGAAGAAATATTTGGACATTTTAAATTTCCAAACTTACTGTTTTACCTTGGTGTGGCACTTCTTAGAGTATGTATCTAACCAGAGTATATCTGTCTAGAGTATACATCCAATCTATATCAATTACTAGATCTTAAGATAAAAGAATGCATCACCTGAAATTTCCAAATGTGTTATAAATTACTCTCCCCATAAACTATAAAGATAGTTGTGTAATTATTAAGGGATTAATTTTGTATTACATTTCAAAAGATGATAAATCTCTGCTAAAGAACATTTTTGATGAGGAAATATTACTATCTTTGAACTTGTGGATTAGTATATTACATGGAGAGTTTGGAATTTCTTCATTTAATATGGTTTACTTAGTTTACCATTTCTTAGTTTAATATGCTTTTCATGTTCATGTATTTTTTCATGAAGGAAAAAAAAAAGGATTTTTTTTTTTTTTCCTGTTGTGGGAACTTGTCATTTTCTGTATTGTGCATTGTAGCTATGTTGTTGAGGGAGTTGACAAAGTAAATATATGTAAATTAGTAAAATTTGGGCTGTGATAATGGAATTTTAGGTCACTGCCATTTACCACCAAAGTGCTTTTGAAATTTTAACTGGTCGCAATAGTATTATTTGGTGTTACTGAAAATGATTAGATTACTTTTAACAGTGGAATTATTTCCAGTGTATTAGTAAAGGTGTAAGTAGGAGTTTGGAAGTTTTCTTAGACTCTATTCTTGGAAACACTCTGTTTATTCTAGATTATATAATAACTAGTGCCATCTTTCTGATTATCTACATAAAATAGCTGGATGGAGATTGTTTTTTCCTATTAAACTTGGAGTAAAATTTTAGATATACATTCATTTTCTGTGCATTAAAAAAAGTTGAATTTTGGGACACGGGTGGCTCAGACAGTTAAGCGTCTGCCTTCAGCTCAGGTCATGATCCCTGGGTCCTTGGGATCAAGTCCCTCATTTGACTCCTTGCTCAGCAAGGAGCCTGCTTCTGCCTCTGCCTGACACTCCCCTGCTTGTGCTCTCTGTCTCTCTCTGACAAATAAAATCTTTTAAAAAATAAATAAAAGAGTTGAATTTTGAATAATTTGACCTTGGATAAGAGTAAAGGATGCAAAAGAGCCAATAGTGTTTTTGTTTCAGAAAAAAAGCTCTTAACATCAAGAAATTAGCTGATTACGGACTTTGGGGAAGGAAGAGAAGGTGACCTTTGGCTGAGAAACTGGGTTTTATCTGAAGAGGTCTCTTGTATTAAGATTTTCTCCTTCTAGTTGTGTAGCCAAGAAAGTACAGACCTATTTTCACTGATACTATCCAGTTTATCTTGACAATTTGCCCAGTGGAAATATTTACATGCTGCAGTTTGTGTAGTCAGAAATTTTCTATTTCTACTTATGTTTGTGCAATATGATTTAAAGGGCCACATAATTTAAATAACAAAAAATTATCCTCATTACTTTCTGCCTTATCTCTAAAGCATTTTGATCTTTCCAGTTGAATGGAAAATGAATGCCTACATTTGATACTCTTAGAAAGGCAGATGGAACCCAATACATATATTCAGTTAACACACACACAGAAACATGTAATGGGGATTTAAAAAACAGTTTATCCTAGCTAGGCAACAATGTTGTATATGCTTCATTACTGTTGTATTAAAGAGGAAGAAGAAGAATTTGTTTTTTATATTGTGATATAGCACTTTATTAAAAAATGCATTTCTTTAATGTGAAGAGATAATTTGACAAAAACTGTGGTTGATAAATCAAGTGTATCTAGACAGCTAGCTAATACTGTTACTAATATATGTCAAAATAATCTTACTTAAATCATTTAGAGAGTGAAGACTGACCATGTAAAACTAAATTATAATTTATAATTAGCTGCAGTATTATTATTATTTTACCTTGATGTGCATATATTATCAGTTAATGATGAGCTTGAAATTTGCCTCAACGATACAAATTTATCAGTGTATCTTTTATGCCAGGGTGCATTGTAATGGGCATATTTTTATTATACTTCTGTAATGGATTCATGTGAACACATTTGCAGTAGAAAATGAATTAGATGATATATATATTTTTGGAATGCTGTCTGTTAAATAGCATGAGATATTTAAAAAGGAATATTATTAGAAGTCTCATATTCAGTTGTTCAGTGATGCCATCAGCTTTTAAAGTGAATATTTGTGTGACCATATATATACACTCACACATACAAGTACGTTGCTTGTTCTTGTCTGTACATATGTGTAAAAGATCCTATGTTTAACAATTAGTTTAGAAATACTTGATTCCTATCAGTTATTTTAGTTCATCTGCCATTACACTATCAGTTAACTTTATACATTTTTTAGTAATAGGAAACTAATATGATCTCATATTAGTTTCCTATTACTAAAAAAATTACTAAAAATATGATTAATTTGAAATGTGCAGAGACAAAATAGATTTTTAAAATAGAGTAATTTAGTTTCCATTTTTTGTGCTCAGTGATTTCTTTATTGAACTAATTTAGTGAGATTTTTTTTTTCAGTTTTTGAATTTGCAATGGCTATGCTGGTTTATACCTTGTGCAACGAATATATTTGTTAGCAGTATAAAGTACACAGTAGTTCATATATTATGAAACTATCCATATGACCTAATTGCCATAATCTGACACATTACTAAATGCTATGAGTTCTGTGATATGTGACTGGAATAAACAAGAGAAACTGTTAGACAATTCTTTTTTTTTTTTTTTCCACTTACGGTCAAGATGTACTAAAAATGTTTTGTCTAGTGAATTGCGAAAAGCACACATTACAACAGTTTTATGAATTGTTTTTATAAAATAACAAGATTTTCTTAAATCATTCATTTGGTGGAGAAAGTAGATATATTAAAGGTCTGGTTCTGCAGATAATTTAAGAGATTTTACGAATTCTAATAAAAAATTAAATTTATTTACCAAAGTTTAACAAAACCCAACAACTCTAAAAGTATTATTTTTATTTATTTATTTATTTTAAAGATTTTATTTATTTATTTGACAGAGATCACAAGCAGGCAGAGAGGCAGGCAGAGAGAGAGAGAGAGAGGAGGAAGCAGTCTCCTTGCGGAGCAGAAAGCCCCATTCAGGACTCGATCCCAGGACCCTGAGATCATGACCTAAGCCGAAGGCAGAGGCTTAACCCACTGAGCCATCCAGGCGCCCCTAAAAGTATTATTTTTAAAATAGTCTGCATTCCTCTGAAGCTGATCAAATTCAAGAATCATAAAAGAAAAGAAATCACAGTTGTAGTGTAAATCCATGTCCTAGTTTTCACACAATACAAAGAAAATTAATTTTCGGAGTCAGTCTGCTTGAGCAAAATTATGTTTAGTAGTTTCTAGATGTTTACACATCCGTATTTGTTAAAATATTTTTGGTGTACCTTCAGAAAAGAAATCCATTGTGTAATTGGAGTTACAGTATAAGGTGTTCAGAGTATCCCTGGAGACCAAAAAGGCAGAAGGCATTGTTAAAGGCATTTTGAAACATGGCAAAAGTTCACACAGACCAGGAATTCACCAGAGTATACATCCAAATAAAAGCGTCTTTTGCATGCTGTTTTACATCCTTTCAAGACTCAAAGGAACCACAGAAGAGTTTTGATACCATCAGAGGCTTGCGCTCCATTCTGGAAGAGGACAGTAGCACTACTGTGATTATCATCCTGCTGAGATGCCCATGGGGTATGTGGGAGTTGAGAATCAAAGTTCACTGCTGCTGCCAGCAGTTACTCCTCTGTTTTATTCCTGTGATGCTGATAGCAAGCAGTACAACCTTAACCCCAGAGTGGGAAAGTGAATAGAAAGGTGGAGAGTCATATCTGGCTCTTTGTTCCCACTCTCCTCCCCACCCTTCCCCCCAGATCCTAGCCAGGGTTGGGAGACAGGAAAGTCCACCCTTCTCCTAGCTTCTGGAAACCAAGGAGTAGGGGTGGAGGTCTGTGAAGTCTGTGGGAAGAACAGTTTGGAGCAGAAAGCAGTTTTCTGTAGTTTATATATTAAAGTCTTCTATTTATTTAGTCTGAAATTCATACTGACATGCAGTATACAGGGCATTTTCCCCTTACTTTAGAAACAGTTCCCACATCGGACAATGTCAATGTAGAACTTTCTGCAAAGTGCTGACTGTAGTACAGGCCGAAGGAACTTTACAAATGCAATGTCTCAATAAGAACTTAACTATTCCCACCTGCCAGCCACGTGAGCTTTTAGTTCTGGAGTGGTGTATCTTTAGCATTCTTCATAACTGTGCTGCTAAAGTAAAAATCTTTGATGGTTATCATGTTTATTTGCCTACGTCTCTGCACAGTTCATTTATAGGTGTTAACACAGGAAATATAAATGCAGATCATAGCTAAACATTTAGGAATGCTGTTGAATCGGATCTACAGTATGCTACCCCTGCGCGTGCTTGAGGCACAGTGTACCTTACTATCTCATAAAGCAGCCGTGCTAATTTGTGTACGCTTAGGAAGCATTTGCAAGTTTTGTAGGTCACTTGTAAATCTGGTGGGCAGTTAGGATTTTGACAAATTGCTGTTTAATTTGAAGACGTCGCTGAACTCTTCAATAACAGATTATTATCATTCCACATTTTTAAAGTGTTATAAATCAATAACATTGATTGATTATCTGAAAAAATTAGGAAAGAACTGAAAGCAGTTATGTCAGTGCAAGTAACAAATTGTAATTGTAAAGCAGTCATGTTAGTACCAGTAAGGCATTTGTCATCATGACTAAATGCTACATAAACTGACTGCAGTTTTAATAGGATATAGTTATCAATATATAATTGTATATTTTAACATATCTTTAAAAAAGTATGGTGGTGCAGTGGGAAGAGCATGAGTCCTGGAATCAAGGAAATCTGGCTGGAATTCCTGTCCTGTCTCTTGAAATATGTGTGACCTTGAGCAAGCC